CAATATCCTGCCAAAAATAAGAAAAAAAATTGCATTGGTACACATTATAACTTTATTAAAAGAAAATAAAATAAAAAGTATAATCAAATTAAAAAAAATTACCTCATAATTATTGTATTAAAATCTGCACACAAAAAAAGAAGGAACTATTAGTATATCAAATAATAAAAATTCTTAATTTAAACTAAATTGAAGCAATTGGATGATGCATAAAAAAAAAAAATGCTTTGACCAAAAAGGATGAAGAGAAAGAAGATTATGGACTGTCAACAAAAGTAAATAATGGAATAAGTATAAAGGAAAACTAAAATAAAACTAGGATATTTACAAAAATACAAATGGGAGAGTATAAAAGATGAAGGAAAAAGGAAAAATAAAAGGAGAAAAAGTTGAGAGAAAAACTGGGACGACTTGTGAGAAAGAAGGAGAAAGGAGGAGATAACCAGAGATGAAAAAAAAAAAAGAAGAAAACAATGGGATGTTCTGATTTTGAAACCCTTATATAATAAAAATATATTCGATAAAAATTCTGTCAATTATATTGAAATAATATTGTCGAATATATTTCAAATTAAATTAGCCGGGAGATTTAATTTTTTTAGGGTGAATGGGCGGGTTTCAAGTATAATCGATAGTCATTGTGGCTGTCGATTATATTGCTATAATCGACAGAAATGATTGTTGATTATAGCTAGTATATTCGACAGCCATTGTGGCTGTCAATTATGTTTTGATTTTTTTAATCTTTTTTTTTATTTTTTTATTTTTAATTTTTATATTTAAATTGATATGCTATTTTTTAAATAAATGATCAGTTTGATTTATCTAATTCTCTCTTTTTTGTTTTCTTTTTTTTTTTTTTGGTTTTTTTTCCTTTAATTTCTTTGTATTGATTTTCTTGTAAAATCATTTGTTTTAAGGCTAGTAAGAATAAATCTTTTTGAGGTTATAATTGGTTATTGAAATTATATTGAAATAAGGTTATCAAATATATTTCAAATTAAATTAGTCAGGGGATTTAATTTTTTTGGATGAATGGTTTTGAGCGTATATAATAAATATTATAGAAATTAATATTTAGACATTTTATGTATAAATATTATCAAATGTAAGATTATTTTTAATTAATATTTTATATATTTTATGTATATATAATGATAAGTTAATTATAAATATTTAGTATTAGAATTGATAATTAAATCAAACTATATATGTGTATAATATTAGTTAAAAATAATTTTACATTTAATAGTTTTAAATCTTTATTACTAAATATATAAACATATGAAATTATATTAGATATAATCGACAGTTATTTATGTCGATTATAGTTAGTATATTCGACAGCCATTGTGGCTGTCGATTATACTGGCTATAATCGACAGAAATAGTTGTCGATTATAGCCAGTATAATCGACAGCTTTTTTCTGTCGATTATGTTTTGGTTTTTTTAATCTTATTTTTAAATTTTTGTATTTTTAATTTTTATATTTAAATTGATATGCTATTTTTTTTTAACAAATGATCAATTTGATTTATGTAATTCTCTCTTTTTTGTTTTCTTATTTTTTTTGGTTTATTTTCTTTAGTTTCTTTTTATTGATTTTCTTGTAAAATTTTTTGTTTTAGGGCTAGTACGAATAAATTTTTTTGAGCTTATAATTGGTTATTGAAATTATATTAAAATAAGGTTATCAAATGTATTTCAAATTAAATTAGCTAGGGGATTTAATTTTTTTGGATTAATGGTTTCAAGCATATATAATAAATATTATAGAAATTAATATT